TAGATGGTTCCAGACAACTTAAGCTCCACAACAGAAAACATAATACAACGTATGTTCTAATGGCAGTGACGGTGGATGAGAGCTCAGCTTTGTGTGTTTATTTTTAAGCTATTTGAAAGGCATATTACACCTAATATAGACCTGAAGTCTTTACGTGCTATCATATACGTAAAAATACCTAGACTAGTGTCTGGTGCAAACTAGGTACTGAATAGATCTTCTCTCTCCTTCCCCTGTCTTTAGAAGAGTGGGGGATGCAAGGCCGGTGCCTGACAGCCAGTCCCTGCTCTTCAACTCCGTCGGTTAAAACACCCTCTCAAAAGGGCTGGAAGTGAGGCCACAGGATCTGAAACACTATGCCTAGTAGAAAGTAAAATTCACATGTGACGTACTTGATACTGTACACCCAAATGTGCAAGCCAGTAGCTGCAGAAGCTGGTAGTGAATTTTCTCAGGCTCAGTGGAGAAAGAAGCCATTAGTCGAAACCGGTGCATCCACGTAACCCATCTCAGCCCTTTCAGTAAATGGCCCTAGGAGAGGTGAGTCATCATGCATTTTTTTATATGCCCTGTCCACTGCTGCTTTTTCCTTCTGGTGTCAAGGAAGCCCGAAATGCCTTCAAATTATACAAGAAGCAATAGCAATAGTATGTTTCTGAAATTTCTAGAAAAGTATGAGAAAGAGCTCTGCTAGGTGATGATGTTTTTTGAACCACTACCCCTCACTGTACTCACTGAGAATTCCTAACCATTTCAGCAAGCCATCTCGATTACCCGGGCTTTTCTCAGAATGACTCTCACAGGTACTCTCACCTGAGCCCTGACATTTTTGTGGGCAACCCGAAACCCATACAGTAAATGCAAAAACACGACAGTTAATTCAAAGGAGGCAGCAACATGACCTCCTTTCTAGGTCAGAGGCCAACAGAGGGCCTAACACCTTCCCGTACAGATCCCTTTGCTTTATTTTATATATATACATATTTTCCCTTTGTGACCCCGGAGTTCACACTTCTGATGTATTAAATTGGCAGAGAAGGTGCTGGAATACTGAAGAAGTTAATGTGTGGCTTCGGGGTGGCGTAGATTGCTAAGCACGCTTTAGAGTCGGAAAGGACTTTACCCATCAATCCAATCCCCTCATTTTCACCCAAGAGGAAAGAAAGGCTCAGAGAGGTCACTGGACTTACAGGGGTCACACAGATAATTGTGTGACTGAGGTCATTTCGCTCGCAACGCATTAGCCATTAAGTGCTTTAATTGGGGATGGAAGATAGGGGAAAATGGTGAAAAAATAAAAAAGACAGTGTGTTTAGGTTTACTCTTCATGACCTTAGGAGGTTGATGGAAAAATACTATCTATGTAGCCTCAGAGAAAACAAGTTTGGTTTAAAGGCTCCAGTAAAGAGCAGATGGCCCAGATTCTTCAAATATTGGATTCTGGTCCTTTTCCTTCCTTCGTCCTTTCCTGTTAAGCTGGTACGTCTCATGTCTCATTAGAGAGTCTCTACCGTAAGAACTCTTAAAGATGTCATCATTGGACATTTCCTTTCCTCAGTGGTAAGTGATAAACTTGGAATAGATATGAGCAAATCGAGCAACGTTTCTCTCGACATGAAGATTAATGCAGTAAGATTTAAGTAATCACATGTCTTCAACATAAATAGAATAAATAGTCCGCATACAATTTTTCAACTCTTTGGCAATACTTTTTGTGAAGTAATACTTAAGAAAACACAGAGTACGAGAAACTTTTCAACCATGATAGATTTGGTGGTTGAACCGGTAACAACAAAAAAAACGAAAAAGAAAAAAAAAATTTAAAAATAAACGAAAAAAATTTAAAAATTTGGAACAACTAACCTCAATCAAAATTTTAAAAAATCCCAAAGCCCTTCCAAAGCAAAAACTAAAACCGCAACCGGAATTAAAAAAGGAAGAAAATCAACGCCAAAAGGGAGGTTAAGAAAGCAAAAACAACCAACGGGGGAACCAAAGCCAAGTTTTGCCAAGAATTTCAAGAAAACGTAACAAAAAGGAAAAAAAACCTGGGGTAAAGAAGAAGGTCACCGGGAAAAACTTCCCCGAAGTTAAAGGCAAAACCCCTCCTTACCTTGAAAAAACAATCAACCGTTTTAACCGGGCCTTAACCCTGGCCGAACAAGCCAGAATTGCCCCCATCTTTAAGTGAGTGTCTGGTTCTGAAATAAAAATGTAAGTTTAAAGGCATTGGAGTGGGGGGAAGGGGCCACTTTAATTGCCTCAGGGTCTCTCCTAACCAATTTTCATTTGCCTCATTGGTGTCCTTGGATAAAGGAGAATGAAGGGAGGTGCAAAAAGGAAGTCAAGGAACGTTCAGTAAGTCACGTGCAAAAAGCAACCAAAAAGTGGGTGGCGCCCAAACGTCCAGAAATTTCACCCTAGGCTGGGTTGAGACTCTTCATGACAACAGTGCAACCCCCGCGCACAGTCTCACACACTCTGGGATCAGGTGTTCTTTTGCATTTGTTTTTATTTTGATGAAATAACGTTTCGTGCATAATAATGACTTAGATCTGGCAAACAAGTCTGGAGACGGCACAATGGCTGGCTGCAGCTCACGTCGCCAGGGCTCGCGGAGGGGGCGAACGTGGTCTCGCTCCACACCCGAGCCGCCCGTTCGCTCCCACGGGCGGAGCGAGGCCGCGCGGTCTGGGGCGCACGTGGGAGGGCGCAGCCGCGGTCGCCGGTCAAGGCCACTGCCACCTCTGTGGGCGCAGCGCGGGCCGCGAGCGAGCGGCTCCGGGGAGTCGGGGAAGGTCTCAGCACTCCGGCCTTTTCCTGCCACCGCGCGCTCTGTGCTTCGCCAGGGCACAAGGCGACGAAGTCTTGGGGGAGTGGGGCGCCCAGGGCGGGTCTCCCGGGCTTGCTTCCCCACGGGCGCCACTGTGTGTTGAAGGAGGGAGAAGAGATGACCCAGGTGTTTGAGACCTGGGGCCGGGGCCGTGGGGAGTGTCTGGAGCCCACACTCTGGATTCCCGAGGGCCCAGAAGGAGGCAGTCCAGGGGTGCGGGTGGAGCGATTGGTTTGGGGAGGCTGCCTTCATCCACCTGCAGGGAAAAGAGCTCAGGGCTCCGGCTTGGTGTCCCCCAAAGTTGTTGGCTGGAGAGCTGGAGGGGTCGCAGACGCGGGCTGGAGTTTAAGACTGTGCCGCGCCGTGGGTAGCCTTGATCCTAAGTCGCCTGCCCTTCTGGGCGTCGGGTGGCTCCTGTGTCAAGTCAAATGGAGGAGTGACAGGCCGGCGGAAGGCGCTTCAGACCTCGCAAAGCCTTCTCCAAGGTGGGAGGAAGTCGGACATCCCCGCGCAGGCGGCGCGCGGGGGCTCGAGGCTGCCGACGCCCGCCCTGAGCTCCGGGCTCGGCCGCTGGTTTCGGCGGAGGCGCGCTCCCCAGGGTCGCGGCGCGGCGAGCCCCGTTTCCGGGTGGTTCTAGCTCAGCTCCAGCGGCGCTGTCGGGGAGAGGGGCCGCAGGAGGGGGACCCCCGGCCGTCCCGCGCGCGGTCAGGCCCAGGCGCCCTCACTCCGTCGCCGGTCCCCAGCCCTCCGGAGCGCCCACATGCCCTCGGGGTACCCCACCTGCAGATGGCGTTGGGGTGGCGGGACGAGGGAGAGAGGGAGGAGCTGCGAACCAGCGGGCGCTGGGAGGACCTCTTGGCCCCCCGGGGCGGGGCGGTACCGCGAGGGGGGTTCACGGGAAAGGGGTGGGAACAGAACTGGGAGACTCGGGCGAGATTTTATCCCTTGTGGCAACAGAGCAAAAACCCCGAGCGAACGTGTCCGTTCTGCTTCCCGGGGCAATACAATCCAGCCCCCACCAGCCTCTCCCCGCTGCTCCCCAGCGAAGGAGAGGCCCCTCTTCGGAAGCTCTGGGTCTTGCCTACCAGGGCGTCACCAGCTTTTCCGCACTGGGGACATTTCGTTCGGGCTCTGCCCAGCCATTGTGCCCAAGGCCCGGGGAGCTCCTCTGCGTCCTCCACAAACGCCCCAACAAAGTGCCCGCAGGCCCCGCAGACCCTCAGCCCTCCATCGGGCTGCGATCCCCCGACCCCCACGCTCTCCAGCAGATCGCCGGGGGCCACGCTTGGGCTCGGGCAAAGATTCTTTTCACGCCCCGTGAGAGTCGGTCCCGGCCCGGTGCCCCACGAGACGCCGTGGCGAGCATGGTTCCCTCTGTCCCGCCCGGCTCGGCATCTCGCAGCAGGCGGCTGTCCCGGGCAGCCCCAGCCTAGTTTCCTGCCCCTCGGGGCACGGTCCGAGCGCACGGCTCCCGGTGCCTCCGTCCTCCCCAAGGGGCCAGGAAATGTTCGAATCTTCACTGAAGGCTCAATTTCGGTGCAGGGTGGGGCGGAGCGGGCGGGGCCGAGGTCGCACTTGGGATCAATTTCTCGGCGCTCTTGACGCTTTTGGGCGGATAAAGGGTAAGTTTGTGCACTTGGTGGACCGAGGGCTTCCCACTGCGGACACCGACAGCGCGGGGAGGTGCGCAGTGCGCCCAGCTGCCCCGCAGACGGGCGTGCGGAAACGCCTGCGGTGAGCACTTTCCGCAGATCGCGCGTGGAGGGAGCTCCGGGAAGGGGGATAGGGGCGCGGAGCAGGGACGGGGCCGCGTGGGCCTGGACTGGGCCGGGGTGGGGGGTGTCCGTGTTCCCGGGCGCCGGCGGCGATCGCGGCGCGGGCGGAGGAAGGAGTAGACCACGTTCCGCAGGCTAATTGGCTTAAGAAATTTTGCAAGCGCTGGAAAAGATCGTTGAAGGAGTTCGC